AAATTTTTGTTGTTTTAGTCCTCTGCGCTAGAGACGCCCGCGTGGCTCGCCGGAGGCCACGTGTCCGCCAGGTCAGCGACACCTGGCCGACACGTGAATTTTATTTTATTTTATTTATTTAATTTTTTTAATTGGACCAAATAAAAAAAATTAAAAAAGGCAAATAAAATTTAAAATAGATTTTAAAAAATAAAAAAATGAAAAAAAATATAAAATCCACGTGTTCGCCAGGTGTCGCTGACCTGGCGGATACGTGGCCTTCGGCTAGCCACGCGGACGTCTCTGGCGCTGGAGGACTAAAACAGTGAAATTTTTTTACTTATGGAACTAGTTTGCGACATGCTCCACTTACAGGACTAAAATGATAAGGGATCCAGTTACGAGACTAAAAAACAGTTTACCCTATAAAATAATATATATAAGTTAAATTCTAAACTTATATATGGCAATCGTAATAAAAATTATATTCCTCTCAATAAACTATTTGTTATGTTAATAAATTTATTCCAACAATATATACTCCCTCCGTCCCATAACAAAATATCCATTTTTCCATTTTAGTCCGTCCCATAACAAAGTATCAATTTCCTTTTTTAGTTACTATACTATCTACCTAACATTACAAATACCCTTACAACTTACAATATATTGCACAAATGTCATTACCTTTATATCACACATACTAATAAAGTTATTTTAGTTATTTCTATTTTATTCCTACTATATCCCAATATAATACTAATATTTTTAAAACTACGTGCAAAAAGCAAATGGATGCTTTTTTATGGGACGGAGGAAATATATAATATAAGAGAAAAAATGGAAAAAAAAAAAACTTAATTATAGCAAACAAATTAAAGGAGGAGACAGAGAACAAACAGGTGCAGTAGAGACAAAGATAATTACATATCTAATAATTAATGGGCAAAATAGAGAGAAAAAAAAAAGGAATAGATTGACATTTTATTCTTTTTATTTGCTTTTGTATATATAAAGTAACAATCACAAAAATAACTAAAAGAAAAAAAAAATGAAAAACAAATAAGAAATGAATAAATTGAAAAAAAAATTGTGAAATTGACCAAAGAAATACAATAAATTTTTAATATAAAATAATGTAAATTTTTAAAAATACATTAACAAAATAATCCCACAAACATGGCAATAATTTAATGGAAGCTTCCAAACACAATCTATCCAAAAAAAATCACTAAATTACCTAATTTTTTTATATATTTACAAAAAAAAAAATGTTTATATCTTTTATGGCAAACAATGATAGCAATAGCAAATCAATTGTACATTGGTAAAAAAAATGACAAAAGATATTTAAATTATATCAAAAAAAATTCATATCAAATTATTAATACACAATATAAAATAAAAATATAATTTTTTATATTTTTTATATTGAAACTCAACATATGTATGTTTTTGCGGATTTTCTCCTTTACATCAAAAGTTTTGAATTTTTCATTTGACCTACAAAATTGAAAAAAAATTGAAAATATTAACATACATAGCCAATTCAATTTTAAAATAAAATACTTACATAGTATAAAGTATTTAAAAAAAAAAAAAAAAAAGGGAGAGTTGTATTAAAATCTCTGTAAGAGAAACCTAATTGTAATTCAGTCCCTGTTAGAAATCAATTAGACTGCAGTCCCTACTTTATGAATTAGATTTAATATAGCTCTCCAATTTGTATTTTTCTCCTAATCACCGTTGTATACGCAAAAGGTACTCGAAATAGATTGATCAATACTTCTAATGTTATAATGTATACCTATATTACTTCCCGCTCTACCCCCATTATAACTTTATATGCTCCTAGTTAAATATCGCGTACCTTTTTTTTGAATTAAAAAAATAGTAAAAAAATACAGTTACCCACAATTTAATAGGAGTTGAGGCAAAAAAATCTCCCATAACTCCCTTCACCCCGATTTTAAACCCTATCTCTTCCATCTTCAGGCGAATTGATGTTTTCCAGACCTCGACAATCAAGTAATGATCAATCGGTGCAAAAATAGTGAAGAAAACAGCTGACCTACTCTCATCCCCAGGACAAGCTTGAAAAAATAAGACCTTTTTCGATTTTTTATTTTGTTGACATTATTTGTATTTTATACTGTAGTTTGTTCGATTGTTTGGGATATACGTCTTGGTCCCGTATTTGTATGTCTCGATAGGTTCGGTGTTGAGGAGCCTTAGGTGATCGGTGTATTTGTATTTGTTAACTAGATTTGAAAATGTTCGTATGTTTGTCCACATAGATCGAGTTGGGTGTTTTATTTTGGCACCGATTTTGGGTAATTTTATTTGTTTAATCTGTAATTTTTGTTAATTTTGTAAATATCCAGTTTGTATAATTACCTGGAGTTTAGTATTTTAGTTTTTTTTTGTTTGATTGTTCGGTAATTAGTTATGTTTGTGAGTTGATAAATGTGGTATTGTTAGGTACCCCGAGTTACATTTTTAGGTCTAGTTTTCTAAGTAATATAATTTTGGAGAACTATTGTGTACTCGGAATGTGTTGTTACGTATTCCTAATAGATAATGACAAAATTTTAAATAAATTCGAGATTGAGGTAATGTAAATTGATGGTATTTATGTACAGATCGAATAAGGAATATAAATCGGTTATCAGTCAATTTGCAGTACCGTTTCGTGTGTATGTTTTCCGGGTGTTACATCAACGCAAATCCGACAGTATCGACAACGAGTTTGATAATGTGAAGAGCTACCGCAGTAAAATTGAGGCCAGAATACTGAAAGGTCTGCTTTCCGAACCGTAGACTTTAATGAGCAGCACAGGGTAAGTGAACGTTGTATTGAATATGGATTGTGTTATTTGTGCTTGATTTGGGTAGTTTGTTATTTTGATTGAATTGTCGGTTGAATTGGTTTTATTTGCCTCATGTTTGATGAAATTGTATTAAGATTGATTGAGAGATTGAATCGTAGGTTAAATTTGGTGAAACTTAATTTTTGGAGTAATGCTATGAATTTTGTTGTGAATGATTGTATGATAAATTTGGTTAAATTGGAATTAACTAATTCACTACAAGACATTCCAATAATTGAGGTAATGCTTGCAATGTACATAAGTGCATTTACGGATGTCTGACTACATTAGTAGTGCACCTAAGAAAGAAAAACATATACATGTACTACAAAGGTTTATGTCCTCATCACATTGATACGTACTTCTTGTCAAAACACGATAGGCTTCGGTTATTTAATGACCTACCTATATTAAGCTAGTAAATACCCCCAAGGTAAGTTACTTATGCCCAGGGGGTCTAAAACTTCATATCTTGATCATTAAGTGAAGTATAACATTATCTTTAACAGTACCCGTACATGAGATATATTCATCTTTAACATAGTCAGTTATACCAATCTAGAAGATTAAAAAATTGCTTAGAAAAGTTAAGAATATGATCCATATGCGTGAACAATAGGCAATGGGGTTACTTAGTTGTATTGTTGGTAATGGTAGTGCTTAGTTTTACTGCATATGCAATGGTTGTACAGTTTAACAATTGGGAGTATTAATATACTAATACTCTATCCAATTGCATTCACAATAATAAATTTACAAAACTATAGAAACAATATAATATTATAACATGTCATTCATTTACACAGGTTAGCATCAACGGATACCTCAGTCGTTTACCAATAAACACTGGAATTAGTATCTCATATGTTTCCATAACTAGTATCTATGTCCTGAAGACCTGTGCTTGGAAAACAAACAATTTTCAGTTCAGAACATTCAATAATTGTCTGTAATCAGGATAAATTCATCATATCGTATTTCTGTGAATTCCATAATTGTATGTAAATATAAATAACACATATATATTATAGATGGTTAAACAAGTCATAAATGACTTAGTTAAATTATATTTTTTTTTACTCCTACATGTATTGTGGTCTTGCTATTGAAAAGTATGCCATGAGCTATCGAATATAATGTACCGTGCCTAATTTTTTCCAACAAGACTAGGAGAGGAAGTATTCTCACTGAGTTTGTGAATTGTCCCCTCCGTCAGTGGGTCAACTGAAATCAACCACATTCACGGATACCTACTACTACACAGATAATACCTAAGAAATCATTATTTATACTTTAAGTGTCAGTGTTCGTACCCAAAGCACATAGTTACATACCTGTATAAAATACCGACATACCCTGTCACAAATCTTATGTACCTATATTACTGGTATCATATGCTTCTGCAACGAGTATATATACTATGATAATTTGTGCTTGGAAAACAGACAATTTTTGATCAAAATATTCACTTGTTTTCGGTAAAAAATGATGAATTCATCGTGATAGTATTCCCGTGACACCCTGAATTGTATGAAAAGATAAATAACATATATTTACTATAGATGACTAAACAAGTGAGAAATAACTTAGTTATATTGTATGATATATATACAATTATATCCAACATCCACTTGTAGATGACTAAACAAGTCATAAGTAACTAAGTTAAATTATATTAGTTGTTTGAGTAAATAATTACTACCATGAATTGAAAATCTTTAGACCTATTACAAAGTAATCCACCATAACACACACAACAACATTCAAGTGAAAATGCGTTGTAATCTACTACTAGGACTTCAAGTATTTTTTGTGTAATTGAACAAACACATCTTTTTTCTAAAGTATTTTGATCAATAACATAATAATCCAAATTGTCACACACTCACAAACTCAAATATCAATCAATTAGAAGCATTTCAAAAAATTGTGACTCGGTTGAGCAGACACGTGCTCCAAACACAGTTCCAATGTACCTCTGTTATATTTTCAGAAACCTCTATTGTCAACAAGTCATATATAAGAGACTATCATCATACCTGTAATTTTCGTAAATCTAATATAATACATCAAATTTACAAAAGAGCTTCAATGAAATAACAATTTTATTGTTTTATATTTACGTACAATATTACATTATGTTTAGCACGCCAAAAGTAATTACAAGGAAATGATTGACGGACATCCTAATTACATCTTTAAATATCTACGAAAATTGAGGCACAAACCAAATTGGGTACTTTTGCAGCTGCAATTAAGATATCAGCTTCATGGCAAATTTGTTATGGATTTTTGGTAGTGGATGAAGAATAGTCACTTTCGCATATGTTTCTGCCAATAAATGGATAAAATATTGATGTTCAGCAACTTAGGAAAAAAATATGTGATTATACAATTAATTGCATAATTAGAGTGCATGAACATAATATCTTTACACACTAATTTAAATCTACTAGACTAAGATCAATTATAATTATATATATATCAATACCTGAAGAAGTAAAGTTGCAGGCAATCCGACAACGTTACTTATATCAATCACCAGAATATTTTTTCCCAGAATATCAACACCAAACTGCAGAAGAAACTCAATGCAATCTTTAGGAGTACATGATATAAACAATATTTTTTTATTATTTTATTATATGATAAACTTAATTATTTACTTAATGAACTCATTCTTGAACTACACAATATGAGTTTTCCTTCACTTCACTTCCAATTTGTTGTCATCCATCATCTATAATTAAAAAAACACAGAGACTCCATCAATCAAACTGCTTCCATATAAATAAATAGTTCCGTAAACTATTTGCATTAATTTTTTTCATTCACCATACAAAGATTGTGTATTTAAAAATGATAACCAAAACAATACCTTTTGATTCAATCTTCTACACTCTCAATTGTAACAATAATGTAAAAAACATCTTTTGTGCACCAATCAAATCAGTTCAAAAAAGCAACAACCTACACAGTTAATGGTGGGGGATGGTGTACATACATATCAGCATAAACATGAATATTTTAGAGTGCATCCTACTTCAATTCAAAATGAAATCAGACGCATGTTTCTCAATTTTCATTTTTTTTTCTTTTCACGATACTGAAATGTTTGTAAATGTTTATCAACAGTTATGTTTCACCCAAATAAAAATAGAATATTGAATCCCGCAGGCTCCCTTGCATTTTTACATATACAAACAATACCTTTAACAAAATATGTATTCTCCACATATTGACGATATCTTCATCGCATAATAATGTCACATAGCTTTTCTAAATAAATGCAATATATTGAATTTTTATTGTCTCAATACTTACCTTATTCCCTCTTTATGATAGATTCATGTAAAGATCCGCCAGCATTGTGCCATCTTCTACACCAATTACATGATGCTCACCTTCATACGAACAAATGATATATAATATCAGACTACTTTGCTCTATGTCCATCGGAACCTATATTAACTATCTTAAGTCATATAAGCAATTCAACAATCTTACACAGAATACAATAAACTTATATGTTCTTATGGAATTCTAGTATGTATGAATCCCCAATAGCAACAAATACCCAATTCACAAAATAACAATTACAATCTACTTCACAAAAGAGCAACAAAAATACCCAATAACAACATAATTCAATATCAAAATCACCCAAGAAATACCAAACATTCTCCCCAAAATAACAATTTCCTTACTAACTCAAATGCTACCGATACAAATACAAACCTAGCAATTTCCTTCCAAGGACGGCGATCGTGGAGCCGGGCCAACCAGAGAATGGTGTCAATTTGGAGATCGACGGTGACAGCTCTTGGAAGTTCTTCAATCGAATCGTACGACCGCCAACGACAAAGAATCAGAATCAGTAACTGCCCTTGGAAATTTTTAAACAAAATCGAATGACAAACGATGACAGAGAACCGGCAAGACAATGGAAGAATGGGAGAGAAATGAAATTTCCACACGGCTAAAAGCTGGGCGATCGGACGGGAAGTTGCTTCCGATCTGACGTGAGAGAGCTTAACGGGTATATGAGAAATATCGCGCGAACAAGAAAAAGAAAAAATAAAAAAGGGGAATGAAAGAAAGAAATCGATTATAGGGAGCGAGAAGAACGATATTGGTAAAGAAGGGAGTTCAGATAAAGGGTTTATAAATAGGGACTGAATCTCAACTGAACATTACCCAGAGGGATTTAATCCCAATTGTGCGTAAAAAAAAACTCAAACATATATATTTCACTTATTTATTACCTGTTGAAAAAGTAATACAAAAATATATTCCAAATTATATATAATTATTTATACACAATAGAAAATATAAATAATAAAATCTAATGATTATATGAAATGAGATTTGAATACTTCGAGAGTTCTAATTAACTTAAATTTTTGTATATATTAAATCAAAAGACGATTTTTAAAGTAAAAATAATATCTATTTTTCTCATTATTCTTCTCATTTCGTCTCTTATTTCTTCTCTAATTTGGCTTTATTTTCCTTTGACTTCAATCTCGTCTTTATCGAGTTCTTCTTTGTCATCTTTGTCTTAATATTAAAGAAATACAAACTAAATTATTGCATATATTTTTATAAGTAGAAAGCAGACAAAAATAAAATCAAGATGAAAAAAAAATAGGAGATATCAATGTTGAATTTAAATGCCCGATCCTTAAAGCGGAAGCGTACCCGAAGATGAAGCCATATACAATCTTGGGTGATTAAAGGTTTGGTCTTCCAAGATCAGAGTGCCGATTTCCTTTATGTCCTTGACAGATGAGGAGTAGAAATGCAAGGAGAATCAGATCTCTTTTACGGCGTTATGATCCCGGGGACCTAACCCTAGCCTAATTATAATAGGGGAAACATAATTATAATTACAATTATACTCTTAATTAATATTATTAATTTGTCACATCACCAAAATAATAATATTATACGGGTAGTGCACTTCCATTCCATAACAATCAAGCCTATCAGTCAATAATTAATTATATTAATTAGACCACTTAAAATAATACGACTGAATAAAATAATGACTTTAACAACATATTCGATACACATATTTGATCCCAAATCCAACAATCTCCCACTGGATCTAGTATGTGTCTGAATGAACATATTGTTCCTTATGAGTTCAATTTTTAGTCATTATAAAACAAGACTTGCAACAATCTGGTCCATCAATCACAACAATATAGGACTAAAGAAGCATTCGCCGTATCAACAGCTAAACTCGCAGTAATCACGAATATCAATGTAATCAAATGACATAGCTCAATCATGGAACATGCAGACAAAAAATTACATAAGTGTAATATGAATATGTCAATTTTCTACTGGTCCAAACTGAATGAGATCGTAAATTACTTAAACATAATGTCCAAAACGTCATAAACTGAAATAATGATCAAAAGAGTATAAAAAAAAATATCAAGTGAACGACAAAAGAATATAAATGCACACTCCCACTGCAGTGAAGCTTCCTCAAATTTGTAACACACCTATATGAAAAGTATGCTAATGGAAGACCTTAGGTGTTACATCTTTAGTTAGGGGGTCTGCCAACATAGATTTTGTCTCTGAGTGCTCAATCGAAATCTGATGATCTTTCACTCCCTCCTTCACAACTAGGAACTTAATGTCAATATGGTTTGACCTGAACGTGCTCCTATTGTTATTGGAGTACTCAACGGCTGAATTGTTGTCACAGAAAATCTTGATGGGTTTTTCAACCATCGGAATGATTTGCAGCCCAGCGACAAAGTTCTTTAGCCAAATCGCTTGTTTTGATGCCTCAAAACACGCCACGAACTCAGCTTCCATAGTGGAACTGGTAACGAGTGTCTGTTTGGCACTGCGCCAAGCGATGGCCCCACCAGCCAACATATAGATATAGCCAGATGTAGATTTCCTACTATCTTGGCATCTTGCAAAGTCGGAGTCAGTATCCAACGATCTCTAATTGGTCTGACCTTTTATATATGAGCATGTGATTATTAGTTCTTGTCAGATATCTCATCACCCTTTTGGCTGCCTTCCAGTGATCCAATCCAGGATTACTGAGATATCTGCCTAACACACTGACTATGTACGCAATATCTGAACGCATACATACTTGTGCATACATGAGGCTCCCAACTGCCAAGACATAGGTGATCATTTTCATCTCATCAATTTCCAGATTTACTTTAGGGCATTGGCTGAGACTTAATTTCTCTCTTTTAGTTATAGGGGTATCTCCCGGATTGCATTTCTGCATGTTGAATCGCTCCGAGTATTTTATCAATATAGCTCTTTTGAGATAATCCAAGAATACACCGAGATCTATCACGATATATTTGGATCCCTAATACAAAAGATGCTTCACCAAGATGTTTCATTTCAAAGTTACTCTTTTCGTGCAACATGCTCACATTATTTGTGGCAAGCAAAATGTCATCCACATACAAAACCAAGAAAATAAACTTGCTTCAATTGAACTTGTGATAAACACAATCATCAACCACATTCATCTCAAAAGCATATGAGAGAATTACTTGATGAAACTTGTGATACCACTGTCGAGACGCTTGTTTGAGCCCATAGATGGATTTTCTTAATTTACAAACCATTTTTTTTGGGTCACCAACCTCAAAAGTTTCTGGTTGTACCATATAGATCGTTTCATCAATGTCACAATTTAGAAAAACCGTCTTAACATCCATTTGATGGAGCTCTAAATCAAAGTATGCCACTAGAGTTATGATTGTCCTAAAAGAGTCTTTCAAAGAAACCAGAGAGAAAGTGTCTTTATAGTCAATCCCCTTTTTCTGAGTATAGCCTTTAGCTACAAGACGTGCCTTATACCTCTCCACATTACCATTTGCATCCCGTTTGATTTTAAAGATCCATTTGCAACCTACGGGTTTTGCACCTTCTAGCAATGGGACAAGTTCCCAAACTTTATTGTCTTGCATTGACTTGTACTCATCACGCATTGCATCGATCCATTTATCTGAATAAGGACCCTTCATGGCATGATAAATATTAATTGGATCATCCTCAGTCATGCCATCATTGTCCTCATTTTCTTGAAGAAATGTCACATAATAATCCGGAATGGCATTTCTTCGTTCTCTAGTGGATCTACGCAATTGCGTTGGCTCTTGAACTGTATGTTCTTGAGTTTGTTCCATAGGCATAGGTTCCTGTTCTATACGAACGGGTTCCTCAGTCGCACTTTGAAACTCTATGGGAGCTGGAATGACTGCTAACTCATGAGGGGTTTGATCAATCACATCAGTGATTTCTTGATCCTCAAAAGTAAAGTCTAAACCTGTATTTCTCCCTTTAAACTCAACATCCTCAAAGAACTTGGTAGTAGCCGTCTTAAAAATAGTTCTTGATGTTGGATCATAAAATTTATACCCCCTTGACCGTTCTGAGTAGCCAATAAAATAACTGTTTACTGTACGAGATGCTAGCTGTGGTTCATTTGGCCTATAGGCCTTCGCCTCAGCTGGACAACCCCACACCCTTAGATGATTTAAGCTAGGCTTGCGCCAAATCCATAGTTCATAGGGTGTTTTGGCAGTCGCCTTAGTTGGCACTCGATTAAGGATGTAGACTGCTGTCTTTAGTGCTTCTTCCCATAATGATGGTGGCAAAGTAGACTGACTAATCATACTTCGAACCATATCCTTCAATGTGCGGTTTCGTCTCTCAGTAACACCGTTCATGGTAGGTGAACCGGGCATGGTGTATTGAGTGACGATTCCACACTCCTTAAGGAAGTCAACAAAAGGATTAAGGTAGTAGCTTTCAGCTTTGTGGAGGCAGGGGTTTTTTGGTTTTATGGAAGCCCTACTTCTGGATAAGCTTTCGGATGCAAGGTCCCTTCTATATTTTGAGTAATTTGGACTTAAAGTTCAACAATAGCCCTTCTCAAAAGGGGTCCAATGCAAAACGTATGAAGCTTTACCCTTTTTGGAATTTTTTTTTCGGAGCTCAGATCGGATATTGGTTATTTGAGCTATCAAAACCCATGCTTTTCTGCACTTAATCCCTTTTTCCCAAGACTGACGTGACGGCTGAGAATTTCTTCGACTGTCGCGGTGCGTGGGAGAAAAGACACATAGGGTTTTGAGAGGGTTTTGGATTTGTCCATTCGCACACTCCAACTGTGTCACTCCTCACCCTTCACTCTCTTCCTCAACCTCCCAATTCGTCCGATTCCTCTTCTTCTTCCCCTCGATTTTATATTTTCCTTCTCGAATTCAACCGCGGATTTCCATGGCCTCATCGGAGATTCAAGCTCTGTCTTCCCTTCAACTTGGTGACACAAGTATTCCCCCGCCGGCGACATCTGAAGGTAGGGTTCATTAATATTTACCGGTCGAGGGTCCTCTGCATTTGGCTTCTGACGGAAAATCTTGGGCACTGAACCCGTCGGCCGAGACAGAGGATCAAAGAGACGAACTCCGGAGAACTCTCATTGGAATGGTGATAATCCCTTGTTAATAGCAAAACCGTTCTATATTTTATCGCTTCGGCAAGGACGTATTTTGACCCGTTATCCAAACAGCAAGATGTTTGTAGAATGGACGGAGACTTTGGAGGACAAGTTGACTCTCAATGAGAGGCATAGGGGATCGACGACATGATTACCGTCAGTACTCAGGTATCACATCCAAATCCTGATCTTCTCTTCCTTCTTTAAGCTTTTGGTGTCCGAAGATAAATGGATTTTGCTTGCCTTGCGGCATGTTTTCCCCAACATTGCTTGATGTTCCTGTACTTTTGGATCTCTCTATTACTAGGGATAATTATGCCCTTCTTTCTGCTCCTGCGAATATTGTTGACTTCTGCATAGATTATGCTAGGTCTAGCTCTAGCACAACTGTATATAGGAAATATGGGAAGCCATGTTCAAAGTTTAGCTTGATGGATAACCATAGGATCTAATTATTGCTTTAGATAAATCGCTTTGTAGTGGGCTCGGCTAATAAGAACTTGATTATGAGCCTCTGGTTTCGTCAATTATGGAGGGTGATTACTTGACCCTTGCTCAATTCTTTCTGGGCCACTTATATCGAACCATCAATGATCTTTATTCTCCCTTGGCTCGGGAGGAACATATAGTCACCCAAAGGAGGTCGTTATGGTTCCTTTGGGTCACTTACATGTTTTCCGAATTGTTTGATATCCCGTGGCCTTTTCAAGTCCCGGAAGAGGAAAAAATTGGTGTGTTTTTGGCCGGATTTCAGTGCTCCCAGAATGCGTTCCAAATTGTTGATTTCTTTCTCAAGTTGCATACTCATGAGGATGTTCAATTCTTCCCTCTGCCAGAGCGGTCTCGGGGACCCGACTGGTTTTCCCAAGCCTCCACCAGTGAAGGAAGATGATTCGTCCAACTGGTCTTTCATTACCTTTTCAGGGAATCAAGTTCTGGTTGCAAGACCTTTGATCCTTGGTCTAAAGCCCACTTCTCGTTTATTACCAATTAGGGTGGAAGGGTACTTTCCACAATTGTACGCCACCAATTTGGCCTCCAAAAAATTGTCCCAGCATACGGTTTTTACTACCAAGGACCATTCCCTCCAGAGCCGCAAGATCTTTCTTCTAATGACCTTGAGATTTATCGGGGTTTGAATGCGGCAATTGAGGGCCTGCCTCTCCTTTCTTTTTTGAAACCAAGCCTTCTACTGACTCTTCTTTCGTGGATTGGTGGAAGTCCCTGTGCAGCGTTTTTTTTAATGATTCTCTAGCCACTTGGTTGGGCCGCCTCATTGACACAAGTTCCGATCATCAAATTGAGACAACTGAGTGCATCCCCGGATACTGTCGAAGGTTTTGTTTCCCTATC